TATAATTTTGATTAGCCGAATTATATACTTTTTTGACGAATGATTGATGAGTGGCATTATGCCGAATAAATCCATTTCGACTAGTGAGTTCTAGGTATGTACATCATTTTTCTTTCTACTTTTTTGTCAATCTTTTCTAGACTATATGCTGTCGTACCTGCTAGCAAGCCTGCCAGCTTTAGTATAAATTTGAATCTTCTTTTTAGTTCTTCTTTTTCCCCTGCTGCTGGAAGGATTCTCAATTACTCTTTTCCAAATAGGATTGACCATTGTTCTGCAAGAATTTTTGCTACTTCTTCATCCTGAAAAGTTACTATGGCTGTTTGCCACATTTTTACTATCCTAAATTGGATGCTTTCAATTTCTCCAAACTTCCTTAAAAGGGTTTTTACTGCTCCCTCACTAGCCACTAATGATATGTCTCTGATGATCACTTTTTGCTTCAAATCTCATGATTGTAAAACTTGTTTCATGGGAATCAAATATTTTTTATTTGATTCATCTCTAAAATTAATCTCATATGCCTGTTGCATGTCTATAGAATTACCAAATGTGGCAATGATTTTTTTTGCCTATTGGATTCTCTCGTGACTCTGGCTTCCAAAAAGGAGTTGAAGCAATAGCATTCTTCCTCTATTATTTCTGCAATAACTGTTAACTTCAAGTTCACTAGAATTTTTATTTCTTCATATGTCTTGGTTTTCTAGTGACTTCTTCTTGGTAGTTAAGCCCTTGTTCTGATTCATTCAGGCCCTTCTTTACTGCCTTATATTTATCTGCTAATTTGTCTCTAATATTTTGTGTCTTGCTGTTTCCCTCTTCTGTTTCTTCTTGCTCCATTTCTATGTCTTGTCTGCTACTTGCCTTTTGCTTGTCTTGTTACTGTTCCATAGGTAGCTCCTGCTATTCTTCCTCTTCTTTCATTTCCTCCATTTTGTGTTTTCCTTTCATGTTACTTATACTTGTACTTCTTCTGCTTGTTTCAAAGGTTACTCTTTCTCTACTTCCACTCTGTTATCTTGTGACTTTTTTACTGATGCTTGTTGTCAAGACTCTTGCTTCTCTTGTAGAGCTTATAATCTTTTGTTCTCTACCTCTTTCCCTACCTGAAGTTGTTACTATTATTTGTCTTCTGTCCATTTTCACTGTTTGCCTTTTTTGGTAATTTCTTACTGCACCACTGCTTAACAGGAAAGAGTTTTTTTTATTTTTTAATATTAGATTTGTTAATGTTTTAATCTAATTTTATTATATGATATATTTCAAGATGTTTATATATATTAATAGTATTTCCTTTACTATAAACATATATAGTTTTGCAATAGTTACAAATAGTTTTATTAATATTTTTAAAATTCAAATCTTTTATAAAATAGTTTTATACTTTGCTTTAGTTTGTTATTATAGAAAATAATATTGTTTCTAACAAATTACTTATAATAATATTACTAATATTGCTATTTTCATAACTTTTTAAGCTATTAGTTTTATTGTTAATATATTAAAATTATAATTATTAGAAGAAATTTTATATTTTATTTTAAAAAGATTAGTAAAAAAATTAATAGAAAGAAATTAATAGTAACTGTTAGAATAAAAAAAATATTAATATAAAACAAGCTTGTTAAAATATAAAGGAAATATAAAAAAAGTTTTTTATTTATAATACTACATTATTAAAAAATAATAAAACAGAATCAAGTTATAAAAATTTTTGATTTTTTTGCTTATATATATCATTTTAATTTGATTTTTTTTTGTTTCTATTTAAATATAAAATATAAAAAATCTAATCTGATTGAATTAAAAAATTTTAAAACTAAATTGATCTAAATTTTATTAAATTAAAAATTTTAAAAATTAAACTGATTTGAACTAAAATTGATTCACAGATTAATCAGTTTTCAGTTTAAAGCTTAATCTTTAGTTTTTTCTTTTTCTTTCTTCTTTATCTTTATTTTTCTATATTTTTTTATTTTCTCTCTTCTATTTTTTTTACTTTCTTCTATATACTTTTTTTATATACTCTATATTTTTTCTTTTTTTCTTTTTTCTTTTTCCTTGCCAAAGTTAAATTTTCTTTTTTTTAAAAGTTTTTCTTTTTATATTTTTCTTTTTTTTATAAACTCTACTTTTTATAACACCATTTCTCTAGCCAATTAATTTTCTTTTCTCAAAAATTATATCAAAAATTAATGACTTTTTTTAAAATGTAAGCTTTAAAATTTTTTCTCTTTTTTATAATTTTACAAAAAAAAAATAAATAGTTTATTCTTTTCAAAGATCAATATAGTTATTATTATTTAATCTGATATTATTTATTTGTTAATGATAAGATTAGATACATCTAAAAAACCAATATATAACTATTATTATTTAAAAGTATTCAAAAAATTATATCTTATAGTATTTTAAGTAATATAATAATTAATATCAATATAACTAACAATAAGTTAAATTAGTTACAAGTGTTATGTTGATAATTGGAAAATTTAGTAGAATAATATGTAAAGACTAAGGATTCTAGTTACTCTATAATACAAGCTGATAATAATAACAAAAGTACTTTATTTATTCTTTAATAATATAGGTTTATTGTATAAGGTTAAATATTGGCATTTTTAAAAAACTTTAACTTTACTTTATATTTAATATTCACCTTAATAAATTATTACTTTATTATTAAATCCTCTTTATAATTACCAGTTTCAGTTTACTCTAAAATCAAAACATATTTTTCAAAGTCATTTTAATAATAAAATTAATTGTCACTTTTTATTCTATAGTTTTAATAATAGATTTTAAAATAAAAAGTCTATATTAAATATAAATAGTGAAAGATTAATGTTGTCAAAGGGCTGTTTTGATAATAAAGATAATTACTATTCTTTAATTTTTAGTTCTAGTGATGAGTTCAAATAGCTTTATTTTAATATAATTTGAGTTTAATATAGTTAGAAATCAATACCTGTTTTATTTGTTATATATTAAATCACATTTGAAAACAAGTATGCCAATTCTAATCATAACTTGAAAATTAACTTGTATATAGTAACTGCAGCACTTTTATATAATTAGGCAATTCAATTCTTTAGGTAACTAAATATTATTCAAGACATAATATAGGTTTTAAAATTTTTTTTTATTCTTAAATGATACTAAGAAGCTTAAGTAAGTGGATCACAATTGTGAGTTTTGTATTAAACTTTTTTTAGTAAAAAAAGATATATTTATATCATAAGTTATAAATCTTGTAACTATAAATCTAAAATTATAATAAAAATAATATATAAGAAGTACTTATTTCTTTAAAAAATAATAATAAATAATATCTTTTTTAATATTTTAAAAAGTTAAATACTAACCTGTCTACACATATATATTTAACTAATATTGAAAAAGAAATTCAAAACAATATCATATATATAGTTCTGAAAATTAAAATTAAATAGATTTATATAGACTTGCATAAGGTTTGAAATACTATTAAAAATAATAATGGATTATATCCATATCTTAAATTTAATATAAACTTAAGAATTGAAAATTAAATTAAATTAAATTAAATTAAATTAAATTGTTAGAATCTTTAATTATATACTAGTTATGTTTAAATAAAGACTATGATTATCTATTTAAAAAATTTTATAAAGTTTTTTAATTTTTTGAATATAGAATAATTAAAAAAAATAAAAAATAAATATTACTAAAACTAAAATTATATCAAATAAACTATACAATCTATAAGTAAAAAATCAATTATTTTTTTAAAAAAACTTTCAAACAAGCTTATTTTTGTTCTATTTTCTCAGTTCTTTAATTACTATAGATAATATAATATATATATTATTATAGTAATTGTTGTTATTGTTGTGTTGATATATTTAGTAATTGATATGATAGTTGATTTAATTGTTGGTAATATAATTTTGTTTTGACTATATTTATTAGAAGTAATTTTGTTTATATTAATTATTGTATAATATACTAGTAGTATAGATTTGTTTTGATATTTGGTAATGTTTAATTGATTAAATTTGAAATAATGATCAATTGACAGGAGTAAACTAATTATAGTTTTTTGGTAAGAAATTTTTTAAATAAAAGTTTTTGAATTTTTATAATGTAACAATATGTATTAAATAATGTTGAAAAGTAAATATTGTATATACTCAGATTTTTGCAATTTTGTTATTAACTTCTGTCTTATATCAAATTTTAATAATTTTATTTTTAAAATTACTTGAATAGTAAATTCAGAATAAAATTTCTTTATACCCAAATTATATAACTTTTATAAACAAATTTATTAAACTTTATATTGTGATTTTAGATAATTTTTCGTTATTTATAAAATCTTTGAAAGATGTTTCTATAGAATCAAGTATAGCAATAACTATAAAGTTAATCTTATAACTAAATATATCATTTTATAAATCTTGTATTAAATCTAATTTTATATTTTGATTTTAGTAAGTTCAATTTTATTAAAATTGATAAGATCTTCTATTAATAAAGAAATATTCAGAATAGTTTTTTCTGATTGCTTATTTGAAAAGCAATATCTATACTACCTTCAATATTATTACAATTATTTTCTTAAGAAACAATTTTTATATTCCATGATAAATTATCTTTATCATATAATGTAGAGTTTTGGGCTTGAAGCTTCTTATTGTGCTATCTTATTTTATCACTAATATTTTTCTTATGTGCTTCATTCAAGAATTTATTCATCTCTCTTTTCTCCAATAACTTGGAGTTAACCTCTGGCAACACTTCTGATATCACATAATTTGCTTTACAAACAGGTACATGTTGCTTGAGCTGGTCTACTATGGAATCATTATTAGCAAATACCTCTGGTAATATCTCTAGTATTGCTTCCTTAAATATGTTAGCATCCTCTCTCTGTGAGTCATCCTGTAATTGTCTATCCACTGCCACAGAACTTTGTTCCACTACTGAAAGCCTAGCCACAAGCTCTATATTCTTTTGCTCTAATTCCTCAACTCTAACATCATGCTTTACATTCTTCTCAATAATCTGCTTTAGCTTCGCATTTTCAGATTATCTCAGCAAACTTCTTTTCAAGTTTGGAAATCTTGACATTCTCCTTTCTAAGCTCAGCAATCGTGGCAATAAATTGAGAATTTAATTCTTGCAACGAATCGATTTTGGACTGACTGTCTGACATTATATAGAAAGCAGATTTATTCAAAACCTTTTTCTGCGCCCTATAAATTCTCACTAGACTAATTGGGTTTAGTTGATGACATGACGCGCCAACCAACAATAAGATTGTTTTTGATGTAATAGATCATTATTCAATCAGGATGACGCTGTTAAAGGTATTTCTGTGAACCTGTTCCTAAAAATGTCTGTTTACTTAGATTTCCTGCAACCTATTGTACCATGCGGACAGTACCGAAACAAATGCAACAAAATGGTGGCTCGAGGGGACTTTCAAAACAATTGATAACGAAAAGTAAGCCCATTAGTCACATTTGCTTCAGTTTCCCTATGCTAACTTATCTATCCTATTAGACTTCCCATAGTTGTAACGACAGGTGTCACATGGAATTTATTTGTCAAAAGAGTCAAAAAGGCCAAAGCAAAGAGGTTTGGGGATTTTAGTAATGGAACTGTCACAATTATTGAGTTGCCAACTGGTGGGCAATGAAGGCACGGCCAGGAAATTTGGTTACATGTTTATGGACGCCTTCCGTAATGTCCCACCTCAAGATGGTGTCGATGATTTGGGTGCGAAAAGTAAGATCTTTTAAGTATTAGTTGTGCAATATCCTGTTATACTGAACCTAATTATGTGGCATCTAGGTTTATATACAAACCTCCAAACAGACGAATATGAAGAACCAGACGCCTGTTTTGTGCCTCAACGTTTACTAAGTCCGCGGATCCCAGCACGACACCCTTGTGATCATGATGTCCGCTATTTCACTTAGTTTGTTTTTATATGAACAATACAGATCTCAATATGAATTGATAAATTTTTAGGGCAACCCATGGCCAACTATCATTCTTGAGGTTGCTTCCTCAGAATCACTCGAACACGTAAAGGACAAGGTTAATAATTATTGGCTGGTCCCTAACCGTGCCGGAGATGTGATTTTGATCAAACTTGGAAATTGGAAGAAAAGACGTCGTGATCAAAACGGAAATCCCTTGCGCCGTTTACTGGTTGAATACCTTTTACGATCTTAAGATTTTTCTTCTCTCGTTTCATTCGCTTAATCGTTCTCTTGTATTTTCGATAGTGCCAGAAATTCTGTCGCCATGCGACCCTTCAGCAAAATCCTAATGCGAAAGAAAACATTCGAACCAATTCAAGAGGTAAGCATTGGTGTATTTTGCAATTGACTTTTTTACTCGTTGGACATACAGTATGTAACATTCAAAATTGGAAATCAAACAATTATTGTCTATATAATAATATATAGTAAAAATATTCTGGTTTTGAATGTTACATACCAGATCGAATTCGGATCCGTTCATCGTAATGGGAGGGCTGGTAATTTTTGTTCAAGACAGCATATGAGATGGGTACCATCGACCGTGATTGCATTTACGCTGGTTGCGTTGCCCCCTCCCTCATCTTCAAGCAGTGATTTCTTCCCTACCATTTCCTCCTCAAACCTCTGCTCCTCTTGCTGTACCCGGAGTTGCGATTGATCTCTATGACATACAACAGTTAATATTTCGTCACGCGGGCCCGAATTAGATGGAATAGCATCAACTTCGCGTGAAATATAATTATTCTTTGGATTTAATATAATGCTTGGCATGTGATATTTTCTACTACTTGATATAAGCAATATTAATAATTTTCGGCCACGCGGAAGACGATTAAAAAAACAAATTAAAATTTATTTCTCTCCCAACACGGATAAGCCTGCACCAAAATATATAAAACAAAGAGGTCTTGTGGTACATGAGACATGATTTCGGGTTATCAGTAATCAAAAAATCACGTGTTAAAAATTCATTTCTTTAGTATCCAAAAAATAAATAATTCATTTTTTGGCGCGGTATCCGTCAACCCTAGCCCTCTTTGTAGCTGGAGATTTTTCAGCACACGTTCTATCCTTTAACAAAGCATAATAACATCCAGCACCTTTCTCACACTCTTGTGTAATCCTCTTTCAAAGTATCTTTGTGAATTCGATGGTGTATGGCAACTTACTACCCTACAAAATTTGGTTAGGGCTATATAGAAGAAAGTGCCAATTCCTCCCTAGAATTTATGGATAATTTTGAGAAATGTAATTATTAAAAATACTACCGTCATTGAATGACGGGTTAGGTTTTAATGTTATAATAAACTTTACCATTAATTTTAATAATCAATAGATTTGTATATGTAAAAAGGATCAATACACTAGGAAATGGAAACCATTGTAAGTCCGAAGCTAATAAAGTTTATTATTTGCTTTTTATTAATTATTGTAAATCAATTAAAAAAAAATAATCATGTGTTACACATGCGGACGAACAGAATTCAAGAATCATAAACATAAAATGTCCTTTGCTTTGCTTTGGACAAAAAATTTGCAAGTTCAAAACAAATAAATAACGATTACATTAAAGTGACGTAATTTTAACCACGCGTATTGTTTTCAGATTAAACACGTTCCTTCTATATTTAGATCTTATGCACGATCTATGTGATCAATAGATATCATGGGAATTTTTTTTTTCATGAGAACTTTTAGATATATAAACGCTTTGATTCGTAAAAAATTTTTCCACTCTTTTTTTTAAATACTTCGCAACCTTTCTTAAATACTTCAAGAACTTCATTATCTTTCTTAAATACTTCGCAACCTTTCTTAAAAACTTCACAACCTTTCTTAAATACCTCGCAACTTTTCTTTAATACTTTACAACCTTAACTTTCTAATAACACACAACATATAAATAACTCAACAATATCTTTAATAACACAACATGTAGCAAGTTAACGAAATCTGAGAGAAACAAGCAAGTGTAAGTTTAATGATAAAACTACCTTATTTTGTTTTTCAAGTTAATAGGTAATAGAAGGCAGGTCGAAGCAAGATTTTGACTAGCTATTTTTGTTGCCAAACTGGGAATCTGAGACTTCCATTTCCGTTTCGTGTAACTGTATTCGAGGGAACA